AGGAAATAATCATGTACATTACTTGAATACAAGGAAAGTCATTCACAACAACTATCCATTCAACACCCATGCATACATTTGTATCTTATCATAATATAAAAGAACTATCCTACAACATCCTACTAAGTCTACTTGTGCAATGTGGAAATGCAGTCTCATACCCTCACTCCTACTAAATAAACTCACCAAGAAGTCATAGTATAGTTCATGTCTCATTCATTATCTTTCATTTAGAAAAGAATAGCCATAACCGACATAGACTATGTAAGCTACATGGAATCAGGTGTCATGTAACCCCACACCAAAAGAAGGTGTCCTACTTGCCTAAGATATGACTAAATGTATTAGCGTCTAGGTGGATCCACTAGCTAAGTCCTATGCTGGCACATAGTTATGGGATAAGAGATTGCTTCTAGAAACCCGCCCTATTGCATTGGCGGAGGGTCTTCCATCTCATATCAATTTGGATGACCCGCCCTATTGCATTGGCGAAGGGGCCTTTTCCTCATTGTCCATATCCACTCGGTGTTAAGCGTTATTTCCCAAATTATACATAATTATTTCTTGAATTGCATTTACATGTGTGAATGAATGCTCTATTATTCATTCAATACAATTCATCAAAATAGCTCATAGATTCATTAAAGGTAAGAATGTACTTTCAAACCTTAGAATCAACATTAGTTTGTGAGTAGGACTTTCACATTACATTTATAGTGTTTTCATGAGAAATAAACTTTCAATCAACACAATACATCATCATCATCCCAGTCTATTCATGTATCATCAAGTATAAGGGTAAGGGAAGAACAACCTTTCAACAATACCATACTTTACACATTAGTCATAGGAGATTTACTTTCTAAATGAATCAATAGTTTATACACATCTTGCATCCATATGTACAAACCCTAGCAATTTACCCCTTTTCAAGGTCATGAATCATGTCTCACAATTACACCTAAAGATACTACAACAGGCATGGACAAAACAAGATTCAATAACTAAATTCACATAGAAACAATTCATAGTAATCATCTTGGCATCAATACACCCATCACAATACTTGAAATTGGGGGTCATAGGGGTGTTCATGGGTTCAAGGGGAATTTTACAATGAAAATCACCATTAAACATCAAATCATCCATAATATAATGCAATTAACATAATAAAATCATTTTTAGGAAGAATTCATGGTTGGAATAGAAACCCTAAGTTACCAAATTTCGAAATCAAGAGTTGAAGGGCTTCATGGAGAAAAGTGTTCCATGAATCAAAGTCCCCATACCTTAATTGATGTTTTCCCACGAAATTAGAGTGAAAATCTTGGAGCTTGAACCCTAATCTTGAGCTTCTTCTTTGTTCTTCAATGGAGTTTAGAGAGAGAATATTTTTGGGAGGGAAGTTGGTTGAGTTTGAGTTTGTGAGTTATGAGAGTTTAGAGACTTGTTTAATACTTAAAAATACTTTAATATTCTTAAAACAACTAATAATAACTGCCCCCGACCCTAACTTAATTAATTAGTAATTTACTAAACTACTCCCACATGGCCGACTTAAGACTGCCTTCCCAGGTCCCATCCACGAGACCCCGACCACAGGGTGTGGTTTGAACCACGGACCTTACTGGTCACTCGTGGTTTGGGTCTGAGGCTGACCTTTTGGTCTTAGTCTAGGACCCATCCATGAGCCCCCACCTACGGGGAGTGGTATGGTCCACGGACCGTGCTGTCCAGGCGTCAAATGAGACTGAGACTAGGAAGTTTTGGGGACCATTGGGAGGCTAAGTCTTGACTCATGACTCCCATCTACGAGGCATGAGTCAGTCCACACCTCGTGGTCCCTATTTCGTGAATTAAACTGTTTTTAGATAGCTTTTCGAGTTGCCCATTGGCCCTCATCAAGGACCCTTGGGGGGTCTTTGGGGGGCCATGCCTTGACGTTTAGGGACTTAGACACTAGTGCTAAGTTAGGAAAATCATTTTAGGACTTCAACCTTACGTTTTAACTTCATTAGGCTACTAGACTACACATTAAGCTCTAACTTAGGTCATTAGATTTCTGGGGTGTTACAATCTCTGCGTCACGGATTAGTTTCCAGACAGTGATTTCTTGATCGTTTCTCATGTTTAACTATCTAAAAACACTCCTAAACATCATGAGATCCTTCTTATCACAAATCACAATCCTTGAATCCATATTCAAGGAAAGTTAAGAGTCAAGTCAAGAGAAGTTAAGAGTCAAGTCAAGAGGTTAAGAGTTAAGTCAAGAGAAGTTAAGAGTCAAGTCAAGAGGTTAAGAGTTAAGTCAAGAGAATTTCATAAAGTATTTCAAAAGAGAGAAGTTCATAAAGTATTTCAAAAGAGAGAAGTTCATAAAGTATTTCAAAAGTCTTTCACAAACGTTTTAACTTTGTTTTAAGACTTAAGCTTGAGTTGAGGAAAAAGTAAGAGTAAGGTTCATTTCTTCAAAGATTATACGGGAACTAAGTATTTTCAAGAGTTCAAAATGTTTTCACATTTGAGCAAGAAGGGAAACACCGATTTCCAAGAGAGCTTTTAAGCTAAGTTTTGAGTAATTATCTCAAACCAAAGTAAGAAGTTTTGTTTTAAAAACATATGAGCTAAGTAAATTTTGGGAGTAGTATTGAGCACCGATATGGGGATGCGAGTTCATAATAACTCAAGTCTCCATAAACCATGTAGCCATCATGGGTAGTAAAGGATTATACTTTTTAGATGATTCCTTAAGTGCTTTTTAGCATAGACTAGTGGATCCACTTAGTTAAGGCGTTTTATACGACAACAAAGTATAGGACAATTTTGGCAGCGTGGGCAAGTCGTTGTATCACCACTTAGGCTCATAGTGGTGGTTGTCGGTTAGAGAAACTCCCACAATATTACATTAATTTATTATATGAGTAATTTGAGTTGTTATTGCATTTTCTTTAACAAACTGAGTTGATTTCTACTATTTTAAAAAGCCTTCTATATATTGCATGTGTATTATTGCTTTATATTGAGTTAAGTTATTCGTGACTTGAGTAAAGTCAAGGTAAGTGTTTCTTTCAGATTCCTTTCAAGCTTATGTTATGTTTAGTATTCCCCTCGCATACTCGTATATTCAATATACTAATGTCATTTGGCCTGCATTATTTTATGATGCAAACACAGGTAATCAGGATCAACATCCAGGGCCCCGTTGATCCAGTTGACCACTCAGAGTCAGTTGGTGAGCCTCTTTGCTTTCCGGAGGACTCCTTTTACTTTGCTTTCTAGTATTTCAGTTGTTAGGATGATCGGGGGTTTTGTCCCGACATCCCTTCTTGTTTTAGAGGCTTTATTGACAATTAGTAGTTCAGTTGTCTTTACATTATTATTTCATATGTTAAGACTTGAGTTGTCATTTTGGCCAGGTTGAATGTTTGATCTTTAAACGTTCTAAGTTATTTTATTAAACGGTTGAGTAGAAGTGCATTTGATCATTGTAATAATGCTTAGAGTTTTCCGCTGAGTAAGTAAGTCAGGCCAAGGGTTTGCTTGGGGCCAGCAATGGTTCTCGAGTGCCAGCCACGTCCAGGGTGTAGGCTCGAGGCGTAACAAATTTGTACCAGGCATGGTACCGAATCAACCAATAAACAAAAACATCACACGATCACACTTACATTGAATACAACCACACTTGCAAGACTACACGTAGTTAAGACATATTCGTGGCATAAGATCGACAACAATATATGTATCAATGCACATTAATTATTCCTTTATTCCATGAACACGTATTGTACAAGTATTGCTAACGGAACGGTCAACATGTACCCATAACGTAATAAAAACAACTCAATCATCACCAACCTCAAATCAAGTATGAACGCTTTATTGAAGTTAAGCATTTCCTTTGTTATGAAACTTAGTTTTTTTTTTTATGTATACACACCAATACAACACAAAATGACCTAAATAATTCTCAATTATTTCGTAATCTCAAACCCTATGCCAGTCTCATGATCATTCTCACCAATCCAGGTCTTTTCCATCCTTAATTCACTTGAAACTGTTTATGTTATGGTTACATTAGCGAATTACAAATATTTAATCATGAACAATATTTTATACCAAGTTTAAGGGCTTCTACATTCAAACCTGCCAAAGTGAAAGGAGGGGTATTCTAGAATAAAAAATAAAGATTAAGTGTATTTTAAGACCAAATGGGGAAATAAGGGTATTTTTGAACCATTTTCAATAGGATAGAGGTATTCTTGAGTCAAAAAATAAGTTGAGGATATTTTTCAGAAGGTGATTTATGATATTTATGAGCCTTTTTTCATAATTGAAAGATATTTACTTCCACTTTTTTACTCCCTTTGTCCCTAATTACTTGTCAATTTTGACAAATCAAGAAAGGATTAAAAAAATTTCTCCATTATATCCTCAATTTATTACTTTGAAAAATATTGAACTTCTTGAAAATCTTAAGTTTTCAATTCATCCACTTCATAATTAATAGGGATAAAATGGTAAACTCACTATATCAATTATTGTTTTCTTAATAAGTGTGTCCATTCAAAAGTGGACAAATAATTAAAAACAGGGAGAGTATTAGTTAAATGAATATTAAAATAAAAAAATTCTTCAATAATAATGTACTTTTATTTAGAAAAAAAAGTGTTTAAAAAGAAAATAATGCAGTAATATATTTATTAGGACAAAGACTTTTTTGGGACAAAACACCACATTTTTAGACATCTTTATTTCATTTCACAAAGATATTTTTGTCCCTAAAAAATATACTCCCTGTACTCCCTGTCCCCATTTACGTGGCACTTGTTTGGAACTCAAAATCCGAAAAGTGCCATTGGGGGAGGGAGAATGAAAACTTTGATAAATCCGATCCTGTCTTGGCATCTAGCCATTGGTTTGGTAAGCTGCTAATAATTTTTGTATTGATAGGTATTAACCAATCCACAACATTCTTGGGTCCGCTCAAATTTCATTTGAGGAAAAAAAATGGTGATGTGGGTATTTGGATATGGATCTCTAATTTGGAAGCCTGGCTTTAACTACGATGATCGTCTTTTCGGTTTTATCAAAGGCTATCGTCGTGTCTTTTATCAAGGTAAACCTTTTATTTTTGAGTGTGTTTTGTATATACATTGAATGCTTGTGAATGTTACTATGTCATATGCTTCTTTTCTGATAGTCAAAATGAAAGAATTAATCTTTGACAACTATATATAGTTGGTCTAGTTAGTGGAGAGTTAATAGAAGTATAAATATGTGTTATGTAGGCAGTACTGATCACAGAGGGACACCAGAATTCCCAGGTAGAACAGTGACACTGGAGCCTGCTGAAGGAGAAATTTGTGTGAGTGTTTCTTTCTTTTTACATTAACCCATGTCATGTTTGTCTTTACTTGTCAATGTATTGACTACCTTGTTTGTCTCTTTTTCTGCTATATCCCAACTTATCCATGTGGTTCAATTCTTAAATGTATCTGGTTGCCAAGTTTATGAGGCTGGAAGAGTCAAAGAGTATGGAAAAATAAATATACTATGAAGAAATGTCACAAAAAAGTTTAAATATATTAACTTTTTTTTAGTGACACTAAAGATTAGCATGTTGCCATAGCATCTCCACTACATCATTTCATTTTCGATCTGCTTTGAATTGTTTTTTCTTGAGCTGAATCGGGGAAACAACCTCTCTACCTCCCAAGGTAGGGGTAAGGTTTGTGTACTCTATACCCTCCCCACCCCAACTTGTGCAATTACATTGGGTATGTTAATGTTGTTGTTGTACTAAAGATTAACATGAAATTGCCTTCTTGTTGCCTGTGTATGATCTTCTCTTTTTCTCCTATTAATTTGTGCTGATTTTCATTTACTTAATCTGAAATGCTTCAAGAAGGTGATTTTTTTTCTTTTTAGCAGTTTCACCCTGCTGTTCTAATATTCTTCAGGAAGCTGTAGAATAGAAATATAGTAAGATCATCTAAATTTCCTTCCAAAGAAAAGAAAAAGGTGTTTGATATGACAGGTGAACTCAATGGATTTGATTCGTTCCATAACTATTGATCTAAAAGTACTTGTGTATGTTAAGAAGGGAGCAAATTAGACAGTTAAATCAATTGAAGCCTTGATTACCACCTCTCAAGTTCCCCGATTGATCCCACGATAGAGTTGGGCGATCTTGATGCTTTCCAAAATATTGAAGTTCCACATAAATATGTTTTTTTTTAAGATTAAAATTAATCAAATAAAGTGATGCGTTCACTTTTATTCCAATGTCTGTACGAAAAGGAAATTGAAAATGGTGAATAGATTATCATATATATGGATCCTAGTTTCTCTTGAAGATACTTCCTTGTTTAATGTTTCCATTCCATTGTTGTTTGTTCCAATCTAAACAAGAGATATATATTAAAATCATCCTTCATCTTTTTCTTCATGTAAGTTGTCTTCTTTTGTCTGAGTAAGATTGTTCAAGCAAATCTAATACCTCCAACCTTGTCTATACATTTGCTAAAGGGATTAGTAGAAGTTATATAACAGAACTGTACATAAAGTCCTTGTGGGCAAGCTTTCTCAAAGTATTCTGCATAGTAGAGATACCTGGAAACTAAATAAGAGTGTTTCAAGCTGGTGCGCTTCCTAGTTCCTTCAAGTGTATAATAAGGCAGATCATGCTTTTAAAGAGGGCAAGAAGAATTTATCTGTTACTTTGTCTTGAAGGAAGAAAGAACTTCGTAAGATGTTGATTTTGGTTACTGGTGCCATTGGACTATGCACGGTTCTTCTCACTACTGGATGCCTAATATGTTCGTGGAGTACTGCTAGAGATTCGATATAGGCTGCCTTTGTCTCACTGGATGCTTCCTTAGAAGCTATTGGCTGGCTGCTTAGTCTAGGTTAGGATGCTAACATGAGGAACCTTCTCTTATATGCCTTTCAGTTGTCCTAAAAAATGAAAAACACTTTCATTCTTCTAGGTTGTTGTATGGATTCACAGGTGATGATGCACAACGTTTCCTTCTATATGCACTTCTTCTGATTCTATACAATTCCTTTGTTACAGTTGGTCCTAATGCACTAGGTATTAATGTGATTCAATGGCTGATATCGTTACGTTAAATCACTATTATATAAGTCCAAAACAATGTCTGATTGATGCAAAGGAAAATAGTGACTGATTTAATGGCCGTCTGTTCTTTTCTTTTGTATTCCTGTTATTCAAATGTCTGATTGATGCAAGGGGATACAAAAAGGAAAGAATATGAAGTTTGTATACTCTGAAAGAAGATAATAACGCTATCCTTCTTCGTGTCTCTTTCCTTCCCTCTCCTCTTGTGTATCCAATCAAAGCACTGTGTATCCGTTTCTCATTGATTTCTTAGACGATCAACTTAGTAGTGAAGTCTCTGATTAACCAGTGCAATGCACAATCTGCAGCATATTCTTTGCAGCAACAACGTATCTCCTCAATGAGAAAAAGGAACAAAGAGGCTTGTGAATGCTATTTTATGTAATGAGATTTATCTGCTTATGTGTGACCAATTCCCAATAGTTGAAACTGATGACTCTTTACACTTACAGTGGGGTATGGCCTACAAGATAACAAAGGAGGAAGATCAAGAAGTTGCACTGACAGTAGGTTTTTCTTTTATACGTGTTCTTTTGTCTTATCCTTTTTCCATATGAAAGATTGTGAACTATATGTTATTTTTATGCTTGTGTTTACCATATGCGAGAATTCAAAATTTGTGCTATTGTGAGATATACATTTGAGGCACATCCCATTCTTACTGTTTGAAAGTAATGAAGTGTTATCTTGCTGTCTTAAAATCTATTGACTTTATGCACTGAAGAGTCGAGGAGACATCTGCTTTAGTTATTAGCTTGATAGAGTAAGTTACAGCTTTAAGGAGGTACAATGTGGTCTAATTTATAATTTTTTGGGAACAGGCTGATTGAAAGAAATAGTAAAGTCAGTTAAACCATATAAATTTTTTGAGCTATTATATGCTTGCAAAATTTCTAAATTTTCGTTAGAGTAATGTTATTACATATAACCTCAGAAAGGGGAAATTCCCTGTTCACAAACAAGGGGGGATTAGTGGTCGATGCTCATCGGAATCTCACATGTGCTCCAAAAATGAGCAACAGCAGTATTCCATGCTTCATCTCTTATATGTAATTTATCCATTAAAAAAGTGCTAATATACCTCAAAGCAGGAAATGAAACATTAAGCTCAAAGGTGTCTTACTAGGCATGCAACTCTAATTGAACGATGAAACCATTCAGTTGCCAGGCAGTGAGGCATGCATCAATAACAAAATGCATAATCACTGGTTCTTTTTTACTTCACTAAATGCCAGAAAGCAGATTATCTGATGTTGCCTTAGACAGTCATATTAAAGTAGTTGGTTGTAATTTGTCAGCCCTTATGCTATGAAAGAGAAGTTGAGTGACTTGACTTGCCAGTGGCCTCTTAAAAATAGTATTTTCTTGAGAGAATTCCTAAAAGAGATTCTAGAACTTCTGGAATTAGCTTTGTGTGTAATTGAATTTCCGAAGGAAATCTAGAACTTTAATTATTTAGATTTGGGTAACAAATATCAAATAAATGCTCATGTTCACTTAGATGAATTGGAAAATTGCATCCCAACTTGAATCCAAAAGATTTGGCTCCCCTATAAAGTATTATTCTAAGCTTTTTTTCTTTATTCCTTGCCTTCTTTCTGTTTGGTTATGTTAGTTGATATTTTGAATTCCTTAAGCATTTTGATTTTGAAATATGTAGTAAATGCTACAATTTACGTCTTTTGACCAAAATCATTATTAGTTTGCTCTTGCTCCACATTCACAGATTTCCTCTGCAGCATTCTCCTAGGATATACCATATATTCACTTTGACAGCAGAGATCTACCATAGATATCTGTGTTTGACTGCCGTAGTTTTCCGGTTCCCCCAATTTCTGTATGAGTTTCACAATTTACTGGTTCCAGTCTTCCAAATATTAATTGAGCTTCTATCTTTCACTTGTATGACAGTGCTTTTTTTGTTTGTCTGGTTACAATTATATTATAATGACATTCATGTGGCCTAAATCACATCATTGAATGACTCTATTTTGTTAATGTATATTCTTTTCATGTTTCCTCCATCTAGTACCTTGAAGTCAGGGAAAAACAATATGACCAGAAGGCTTATGTAGATCTTTTCACTGTAAGTCATACTGAGTTAACATTTAACCAAAAGAAAGTGCTTGCTGATTTATCATTCTTTGCTCTGTGCTAATTGATTCATTAACAAATCAACTTACATCCAGGAGCCTGCAGCCTCAGCACCAGCTGTTTCTGGTGTATTAGTGTAAGTTACAAAATTGACACACTACAAAATTTCTACTCAGTTTTTTCTTGATTCATCATGCAAAACTACGTTTGACTATTCAGATACATAGGTTCTCCAGACAAGAAGCTTAACGAGAACTACCTGGGACCTGCATCAGTTGAAGAAATTGCTAGGTGTGTGTCATATTTCAATGCTTTTTAAAAATAATTCGCACTACAATCTATGACAAGCCCATGTCAGAATTTCTGTTAGAAATAGGAAATACATTATAGTGACCAATGATCTTGACTTTGATCCTAGGTAAACAAAGCTGAGATTCTTAGAATTCCACATTGATAAAGTGCTGTGTTGTAGCCTTTCTTATATGATTTTTGGAAACTCCTTACGGCATGGGCTAGGCTTTTGGATTATGCCCAGGATTTTTTATATGATTTTGGAAAATCCTTATGGCATGAGCTAGCCTTTTGGATTAAGCTCAAGATCCATTTTCTTAACATGGTATCATAGCCACTCTATGCGACAAATACAAGAGAAATATTGGGTATGTAAGGAAGTGGGCCTAAGATTTGACGTGCTTTAAAGCCGTGAAGGTCTAGGTTCAAGCGGACAATATCACTAGTGGATGAGCTGTGACAATATGATATCAGAGCCAAGCTCATCTTATCCTTCATGTTGGGCTACTCAATATTGTTCCCCTTGTTATACCACTTCACACTCCAAATGTCCTGTCCTGGGTGTGCAGATGGTGTTACATAACACATATGTTAAGTATATGAAATGTATTTTTCTTACATGTCCTTGGACAATCCTCATCACTTGAGTTCTTGGTTTAATTAGGATTTAGACCCAAGATCATAACAATTATTTTCTAACAATAAACCCTTGTGGTCCGGCCCTTCCCCGGACCCCGCACATAGCTGAAGCTTAGTGCACCAGGCTGCCCAGATATATTACTGTTTAATCCAAGAACATAAATATTTCTCCCTTGACTGAATACACTTGCTACACATGAGAAATGTATTTGAACATTTTTTGTCGATTTCAATGATGTGGATACATCTCTTGGTTAATTTTCTTTTAATAATTAATGTAGTTAATAATTAGTTTCATGCTCTTAAGTTATGTATAGCCAACAATCCTCTGATAAAGTTTGGTGGACAAGTGGTTTGTTGAACTGTGTATGAGTGGGTACTTTTAAGCATCAGAACTGTAAAATTATATGTTTAACTTCCGATAGTGAATAGAAGTTATTTTTACAAAATCATCTTGACTGCAACAACAGGTAACTGTCTTGACCTGCTTTATGCTCTTTGTGGTTCTAACTTCATCTAAAGGGAGCTTTTAAGAATTTGACTTTTGGAGTTGGCATTATAGTTTGGCAACTTTTAATGTATATTTATATTGTGCAGTCAAATTGCTCATGCAGAAGGCCCCTCAGGACCCAATAGAGATTACCTTTTTCAACTTGAAAAAGCCCTTGGCCTCTTAGGTAACTTCTTAAGCCTCAAAAAGCTGCCGTTTCCTACTTCATTTCGTGCTTTAGATTTATCACTCTTTACATTGTTGGCCAACATTATCCGTATTCACTTGAACTAGGGTGTGAAGATAAACATGTCATCGACATAGCAAAGGAAGTCAGGCGCATTCTTTCAGAAGACGAGGTAACTATCTCATGATCTTGCAGATACACCTGAGGATCATTTATCTGAGTAGCAGACACTTGAACAGTGCATGTTAGAGGGGAAAAGCAATTGCTTTTCTATATCCAAGTTCCTTCATATTTCTTGCATTCAAGGAAAATAATACATACACTATTGGCTTTCATGTTTTGTTAGCTCAATCTTTCAATAATATACTTGAATTGTCATACAAATGGAAAGATGATTGAGTTAATAAAAGTGTGTCATGACATAGAATTGTTCTTAAAGCACCACTTTTAGTTAGACAAAAGAATATTACATCTAATTGCATGACCACTAGCTTCACTTCCTTCTTCATCGTCTTATACCTCTCCCTATTCCTCCCCTTTTCAATTATGAGATATAAGAAAATGCAATACTAGAAAAGTTATTATGAAGTACAAATCGATTCGAGTACCTTAACAATCCAAAAAAATGTTGTCAAAACCACACGTTATATACTTCCTACTGAGCAGATCAAATTTCCTTTTTGTATTACTACAAAAATTACTCTGCCTACTTTTTTTTTAAAATTTTTATATTTGCAAAAGTGCACGTTTCTATTTACACAAATCCAATAGGTAAAATCATTCACTAAAATGAGTATTATGTCAATAGTAATGCATAAGTAATACAACGTTTGATAATTGATGAGAAGGTAATACGATGTTTGAATTTGATTTAAAGTTCCACATAACTAATACATGTATAAATTATGAGAAAATCTATATATTATTTTATACAAGATATGTTGAATAACTAATACTCCCTCTATCCCAATTTGTGTGACATGCTTTGACCAAATTAAGCCATTATTTAAAGTAATTCACCAAAATAGTATGTTTTTCTAAATTTTACAAAATTAGTATAAGCGTATTCCACAGTAGGGCTGGCAAGGGGATGGGGACTGGGGGACGGGACGGGAAAGGGACGCCTTTGCTGAGATTTTGGGGGGACCGGGATTGGGGGGATAAAAATTCGTCCCATCCCGTCCCACTATATATGCGGGATGGGACGGGGTTTGGCGGGATAGGATGGGACGGGACGGGACGTGAGATTTTTATTTTTTTTATATGTTTATTTATTTGTATTGAAATTATATGTTATTGAATAGTATTTTTAGTTTATTTAGTTTTCAATAACATTTTTAGCTAATAAAAAATGCTTAAGTTTTCAAATTTCAAATTTGAGAATTTCAAATTTCAAATTTGAGAAGTTCAAATTTGTATTTTAAAAGAATTTAACTTGAAATTTCAAATGTCAAATTTCAATTTTTAAATTAAGTATTTTAAAGTTAGTATTTTAAAATTAAAATTAAAATGCAAGACAATAGTTATATAAAAAAGACTTGAATTAAAGCCTTCAAATTTATTCAATAAAATCTAATTGCAACTTAGAACTTAGAAGTTACAATTTACAAATATTAGTGGAGTAATTAATCTACGCAACCACCTTCTAGGAAGGATTCTGTTTCAATAAGTTCTCATATGTAAAACTAATATTTGTTACAAATATTAGATGAGTAACTAATTTACGCAGTCACCTTCTAGGAAGGGTTCTGTTTCAATTAGTTCTCGGATGTAATCTAATATTTGTATTCTCTTTTAAAATTCAATTCTAATTGTCACATCATATCGACGGTAACATCCTCCGGTGTTGGCAAACTTGCTAGAAACTCTTGTGACTCTAATTCATCATCACTAGATCCAATTACCGCATTAATCCAAGCTTCTTGTTTGGAACTTAACCTTGGCAAATTATAATTCCTCCTCTCGGCGTTGACCCAGTCTCTAAATAAAATTGATGTTTCCAAACTTTCTTCCGCCAATGAATGTCTATGATCGCCAATTTGAAACCTTGCCGCACTAAAAGAAGGCTCCGATGCAACTGATGAAGCTTGAATAGCTAGAACATCACGAATCATTTTGCTCAAAATTGGAAATGCAACGCTCCGCCTCCTCCACCATGCTAATAAATCTTCATTGCCATCTCCATCTTCCACTGTTTCTAAAGATTGATTAAGATTATTTTCAAAATCATCACGGTTAGTAGAATTAAGACCAAGAAAACCTCGCATATAACTTGAAATTCGAGCTTTACTTTGAGGATTAGAAGTTTGACCAACTTCTCCTTGAATATTTCCTATAGTTCTATATTTTTCATACAAAACTTTTGCTTCTACTTTTATGTTAGACTTACACATTTCACAAGTTGGATTTTTTTCCGGTAAAATTTCTAAAGTATCATAAAAAGTGTCAACAAGTCCCTGCACACCTCATAATTTATAGTCAGGATGAAGTAAAGTAGCAGTTAAAAAAATTTGAGGAATAGGAAAAAAAAAATTAAAAAAAATTTCAATCATACCTTCAATTGCAACTCTAAATTTTTCAATTTTTTTGTATTTAGAAAATTGAATTGAAATAGCACAAATATTTATTAATACTATTGAAATAGTAGGATAATAAATTCCAGAAAACATGATTGTAGCATCATAAAAAAGTCTTTAAAATTCTAATAGTTCATTAGTTTCTTCTCAATCTTCTTCACAAATTCTCTCTAATGGGTCTGCATTATGAGCATTAAACACCATTTGTACGGGTCCTTTATATTCGTAAGCAACTGAAAACATTTCGTAAAAAGAATTCCACCTTGTTTTAATATGTTTTGAAGTTTTTCTTGGTGGAAAATCACATAGTACACAACGCTCATTAAATTCTCTAATTCTAGCAACTCTATGAGCATAAAAAATCCATGCAACAACATATTCAATATTCATACAACCACATTTAAATAATGAAATACCATCTTGTACAACTAAATTTAATGAATGTGCAACACATCTAACATGAAAAGAATTAACATCAATTGGACATAATCTAGATTTTAACATACTGACAACGTTTGTATTATTAGATGCATTATCTAATGCGACAGACATTACTTTATCTATAAGCATGTAATAATCTAGAACACTCAAAATATTTGAAGCTAACTATGCATCAGTTATTTTCTCTACACATTCTTTATAACTTAAGATTCTTTTTTGCAAATTCCAGTTATGATCAATCCAATGTGCTGTAACAGTTAAATAATCACGTCCATTAACACTACGACCCATGTCCGAAGTTATAGACACTCTACAATCTAATATGCTAAATATACAACGAAGATATTGACAATGTTTACCTTGATATACAAAAACATCAGATTTAACAGTATTTCTTGAAAAACCTCTATAAGTAGGATTATAAGTTTGTTGAATATATTCAATAAAACTGGGATGTGAAGGAAAACTATAAGGCAAACCACAAACATAAACTATTTTAGCTAAATTTTTGCGATCTCTTTTCTTATTATATTTACGTTGTGTTAGTGGACCACCGGGGTTAGAAGGATTTAATGTTCCTTGAACCATGTTAGAAGCCCCTATCGATTCATTAACATTAATATCAAAATCATTAACTGAAATTCCTTTTTTTCTATCGGCTAATGATTTAGCTTCTTTATATTGAATCGGCACACAAGATAACAAGTGTCTATTTAAGCCCCCCGTCCCACCTTGACCTCCACCTTGTTTATGTTTAAAAGGTTGCTTACACTTATTACAAATAGCAATAGAGTTTTCCTTATCTAAAGTCATAAATTGCCACACAACAGATGTTTTAGGGCGTTGATACTTCACTTTCTCCCTTGTAGGAGGTATAAGGGGTGGGCGTCCACAATTTTGCTCCATTGAATTTATAGTTTCATTTGGAACTTCTGTCATCGGACTAGTAGGTGTATCATCTAATTCCACTTCTCCCGAACCAACTTCTACTTCTTCACCTGAATTTTCATCAAGATAAGGATTAATATCACCATAAATTTGTTGTAAAATTTCATGATCGAGTTGAACATTTGAATCAATATCATAAGAAGTATCATCAACATAAGTAGAATCATTTGTATTAAATCTAACTCTAGACATTGATTTAGAAGAAGTACCATTACATTTACTCTTATTTTTTCCTTACTACTTTTTTTATTAAAATTAAATAATTTACTAATGCCACTTGGTTCTTTCTCTTTTCCTTTATTGGTATCTTTTTTTGCTAGAACTCATATTTAATTATATGTAAAGTGTAATATAAAAATAATAATAACACAAAAATTAATGACGAAAAATAAAATATAAATATTATAAAACAAATGTACCAAACGTCTGCGTTAATAGCTTGCGTTGTAACCGATTCTTGAAGCTTGTAGTTTGTTGTAACTTGTAATTTGGAACTCCAATACTTGATAGCAAATATGAGAATTATATATATTATGATATGCTATGAAAATTTAGAATTGAAATATATGTATTATGATATAATATGAGACTTAAATGGAATAAAAAATTGAGACTTAAGATTGAGAGGATATAGAAAATAGATGAGAGAATAGATGATTTTGTAAGAAATAATAAGGGATAGAGGGGTATTTATAATATTAAAAATGGGTTAAAGTGTATTTATGATAACTTGAGGGTTTAAATTAAAGTATTAAAAGTAGGGGGGTGGTAGGGGGTGTTGGGGAAGTGAAAAAGGTGAATAAATCCGTTGGGGGGGCCACTAGCCATTGCCCCAATGGTCCCCAACGGATATAATTAAAAAAAAAAAATTAAAATTGAGGGGATCCCGCGAAACCGGCCGATTCAGCCGGGCCGGTTCGACCGGGACCAAAGGGTGGACCGGCCCCTAACCGGTCCCCTATCCCGAATCCCTCCCAACCCGCGAGAAGTTACGGGATCGGGTCCGGCGAGCCGATTCTTGAACCGGTCGCGGGCCGACCCGGTCCCCCTGCCAGCCCTATTCCACAGACCACAGTAATGTTTAGGGTGTATTTTATTTTTTAAAATTCAGTTGTGTACTGACGGCGTAAGTTGAGAAACGTTATTGTGAGTAACGTTTTATAATACGTTACTTTGAGTCACGTGTTACTCCTAAAACGTTGCTCACAATAACGTTTCTTAAGAATTCAATCCTACAAATTTAGAATTGAATCTTGCAAATATAGTTATAGAACGTTACTGAGAGTAACGTTTTACATTAAAAATGTGATTGCATGTTTGGAGCGGACACATCTACTAATATACCTATAAATTTCAATTGATTGGAGCTGTTGTCTGCATTTTTTCTTTGATAAGTCATTGCTATTGAAGTCTACCTAGTCTAGATATGTTGCATATATTCTGTCGTTCATATGCCAAAAAAGGTCTTAGAACACATGCCAAAAATGTTTCCTGCATTAGCTCAAAGTGCATTAAAATTCTAATAGTTATTAGTATTCCATGAATCACGTCATTTGTGTTTAATTAGTGGATGTGGAAATTGACTTTGTTTAGAAACAACACATGTTATATATGTGCAATAATTTTAGAATTTTCCAATTTAGTACTGCATGTAGTTTAGATCAAGTTAAAAATCAACATTGTGTTCAGTTGGCTTAGAAACCAACATTTTCATATCATTATCTTAATTTTTTGATATGTATTGTTTGACGAGAGTTCTCTATTAATTAAGTTTTGCTATTGAAGTAGCGCAAAAAGCTAACACGACTTTATTTGGATACGAGCACATGTTATACATACTTGTTTGAGAGCTACAAAGTGGTTGTTGATATTTTTTGCCTTTATATTTTTGTTGTTTGGAGGGAGTTGATCAGTTGGTTGCTTCTTATGTATTTGACACTCTTAATCGTAGAATGCAATTTTTTCTCTCGATCAAACTGCTTTGATATGCTTTTACTCTAGTCGAGAGTCTATTGGAAACAACCAACTCTCTACCTCCCAAGATAAGTGTAAGATTTGCCTAGTTTGTACACTCTCAGTTCATAGCTTTGCATTAGAGTCTAACTACTCCATTTTCAAGGATACCAACATTTCCAAGCTTGATCATTGGCAAATGTTTTAACAATTAATTCAATCCTGTAGCCATTCAACAAACTCTGGCCTGATGCAAAAACACCTTGAGATGATTGTTCGAAATATCTCCTGGAGATTTGCAATTCTGTAATTTTCTAATTTGTATTATTACCTTGGCACTTGCTTCAATCAAGTTTACTCAATCAAATCTAGGCCTAAATTTGCAGGATCCAATGGCCTATGATTGGATTCTTAAGAAATGTCACCTCCTAAAACGTGACTCAAAGTAACGTATTATAAGCTTAAAATGTTACTCATAGTAATGTTTCTCAACTCAACGACGTCAGTGCACATCTAAACTAAATTTCTTAAAAATAAAATACACCCTAAGATGTTACTATGTAGTGAATTGCTTTAAAGAATGACTTAGTTTGGTAAAAAAAAATCCAATATATTAGAAATATGAAAAGACTTCGCAATGTTTCAAAACTACTCTTCAAGATAAATAAATTTTTAAATAAAAAAAAGTACACCTTTGTGCACTCTTACCACATAAGTAGGACCCTTGAGTGTCATTAAATGTTTGCCAAATTAAGAAATATGTTAATTCTTTTAGAACTAATTAAAAAGTACATAAATAATTAATACCTATATTATTAATACTTGCATAACACTAGTGAGCGACCACACCTACTAACAGTAAAGTAATCAGGTTCTTCACCAATGAACTTAGAAAGGACAATATTGTTTCAAATGAAAAATAAAATAAAAAATGAACCACAAAATACTCAACTAAGATCTAGAAACCATTAGCAAATGAAAACATGAGGTTTGACAATTACCAAAAGCCAGGTTAAAGTTGAATCCACCCTCACTCACTTCACAATCAAAGAACATGTCAATTTAGGGTTGAAATTTTCTCAAACTTCATAGTTGAAATAGATGAAGACGACCTCGAGAAGTGAAAGGTTAATTGAAAAGAATTCAGAGGGTCAACAAGACAATTGAAGAAATTGTGCACATAATTCCCATTTAAACTGATGAGATAAAATGGAGAGCTGGGCATCCAATGCACAGTCATACATTTGAGCATAGGTCTCATGAGACCAGTGTTTACCACTGAGACTCGCCTCATGCCAAGAAGCCTTTTAAAGCACTGCTACCAGCACAAACATGAAGATTATCACCTCCTACAATGCACAAGCAAAGATGTTCCATGTACAACGTCCCTCGATAAATAACAAATATGGTACTATCTAATATCCATGACTGCTAAATTTAATACTTCTTAACAAAGCTAAATATCACATCTCTTGTAAATATACTTCTAAAATACATTAAACTTCAGCTCCCAAATCTAAGTTGAGAAACTGAAACTATTGATACACTGGAAAGATCATCCCCAATCTGTAAATTATAACCTTCAGTCACCAGAGAGCTTCATTCACTGTCCTCGTTCTCATCTGCCATGAAAAGGGTGTTTTAGAAACGAGAAACATTTGTATGATGAATTTATGCAATTGATCAACAATCAAGTGGAGAACAGGGGCAAAAGTTAGTACACTAAAATACTTGTGTTTCCACTATATCATTCTAGTTGCACACAAATTTCAAGTGATATATCTTTAGGCCAGTGGTACTACTTAATAGGGATGCTGCCAACATATGCTGAAGGAGAATGAGGAGGAATATTGCTTTTATGGAACTTCAACCAAAGAAAAGAGGAAAATCGTTAAAACATGCCACTCACTAGAGCAGTTAGGAAGCCATGGTGAGGAAAAATGGAAAATGCAGTTGAAAACCAACTGAACAAGAAAGTTAATTCCTAGAAGGTTAAAGTATCTCAAATCATCAAACCACCACTGTAGAATATATAAATGCTACTCCCTCAGTCCCATTTTATATGAGTTATTTTGACTCGGCATGAAGTTTTAAGAAAGAAAGGAAGGTTTTTGAAACTTGTGGTCTAAAATAATCGATAGATATTTGTGTGGCTGTATAAATCATTTCATTAAGAGTAAAATGAACATTTTAAAGTTAAATTGTTACTTCATATGGAAATGTGTCATTTTTTTTGGAACTGACTAAAAAGGGAAGTAAGTCATATAAACTGGGACAGAGGGAGTAACAAATATAATATACCTTCATTGAACTCCTCATCACTCTGATTGCTCTCATCATCTTCATTGTCATCATCATCTTTGTCATCATCACTTGCATCATCAGCATCGCTATCACCATCCTTGTCATCATTCTTATCACTTTTAGGAGGTGACTTGGGTCTTGGAGGAGCCACAAAGCTGGTCGTTGATCTCCTTCGTGTATTTGAAACAATGTTGCTTAAGTCAATGCCTTCCAATTCTTTTGCTGTTTGCTTTCTCTTTTTGACTTCTTTGATTTCTGGCAAATCAAAAGTGGCATCAGCAAAAAGTTACACAACAAAACTTCCCCATATATGCACCTACAAAGCTACGCTTTTAACAATTCCCAACTAGACAAGAATCAACAACATAACCAGTATAATCCTACAAGTGGTGTATGGGGAGGGTAGGATGTATGTAAACCTTACCCCTACCTTTGTGAGATTGTTTCTGATAGACCCTCGGTTCAAAAGAAAAGAAAATGAAGCATGTTCACATGAAAAGTATGACAGCACACAAGCAAGATACAAAGCAACTACAATGCGAAACCAAGACAGGCTGGAAAGGGAAAAATAACAGCAACGAAGTGTCAAGATGGACAGCCAAAAAAAGGCAACATGTAACAATGGACAAAGTAGAAGATACTATGCAAGTACTAAACATAAGTACTGCTAACAAGGGAAAGAGAAAACTAGCCCCCTGTCTCTCCCACACAAAGGTGCTACAACGCTCAGCTACCAACTAACCTTCTACCCTACTCCTCAACCTCCAAACCTTCTTTATCTAGAGTCATGTTCTTAGCAATGTTATCAAAGGCGCGCTTTAAGCGCGCTTAAGCCCTGAAGTGAGGCTCAAAACATGTTGAGCGCTTCGCCCCGCTTTCTGCGCATTTCAGCGTCGTCATCAAGATTCTAAGACAAACTTTTCCTTGCCAACGAGCCTCTTATGAAGAAGTGACACTAAACAATTGATATTTCACTTTATCATAAAAAAATTCAATTTCTTTGGACATATATTTGTCATTCATGTTTATAATTATTAGACTTGGACTAAACATATATGTTTGTATTTTTTTCTCCCTTTGCGCCTTTTTTCATTAAAGCCCACGCTTTATTTACACTTTGCGCTTAAAGCCCCCATGGACCTTAGAGCTTTTTTGCGCTTTTCACCTGTGATAACACTGGTTCTTAGTAAACCGAAGGTGTGCCATGTCCTGCCAAATCACCTCCCTCGAGTACTTATTTGGCCTATCTCCACTCTCCTGACATCCAATATAGTTAACCTCCCACGCCTCTTCACATGTCTCAACAATCTCAGTCTTGCTTCCCTCATTTTATCTTTCACAAAGGTCACTCCCACCTTGTCCCGAATAGCTTTGTCTCTAATCATATCTCTCCTAGTATGTCCACATATTCATCTGAGCATCCTTATTTCTACTACCTTTATCTTCTGAACCTGTGTGTTCTTGACTGGCCAACTGACCACTGCTTTGTAGAATTTACCCTTTAAGCCTTGGTGACACATTCTTTTCACACATGACCTCGGAAGCGAGCCTCCATTTCACCCACTCTCCACTGCGCGACATCCTCATCAATCTCTCCTTTGTCTTGTATTTTTTTCGAGAACAAGTAATTTGTATTCCTCAACATTAAGGATATGTTGAAGACCCCCAAAAAGTGATTCCACAAAGAAACTATAGACCACGGGCTTACTACAAAGAGCCTAAACAATCTACTAATTGGACTTCATCCTCTACCTTTGCTATTTTACACCAAAAATGAAAATTTAAAATGAAATTCTACTTAATCTTCTGTGAAGTGTAGAATCTACCCTCAAAACACCGCCCATTTCTTCCCTTCCATATTGTACACCAAATACTCGATCTTCTGCAAAGTGTTAAATTTGCCCCCCTTTCTTGATCCACCAGCTTAGAAGGTCGGTTGTGTGTTCTAGCATACTTAGTTGTTACTTGTGAGGCTAAAAAAGAATGACCAGAATTGGGTTATCAGTTAAGAGTGCAGGAACAAATGATTGTTTATCAATGCAGTCTCATTACAAAGAAAGCATCAAGATACTAATTCAATTCCCCTCTTTTGTAGGACTTCATGACTGAGGCATGCTCTTCTAGCCACTAACCAAGTAAACCATCTAATTTTGAAAGGGACCAAACACTTTCACACCTTTGACCATGGACTTGCCTTGGCACCTGGTTGCCCCCAAGGCCTCCAATTTATACACTCTATTGACAAGGAACCTTCCATCACTGCTTGTTTCCAGCTGATAGCATCTGTGACTGTAGAAGTGCCTTTGAATTTATCAACTTCCTTCATAAGGCCAACCACCCTATCAATCTCCCGGTCATCCAAGTTCCTTCTAAAACAGATATTCCACCCTTGAGGAGTCCAAGGATCTGCCACACTGGCTTCAAGGTTGCTGCATATTGAGAATAAGTCAGAGAAAGTGGACATGAGAGGTTCTTTCCCATTCCATGATTCCTTCCAAAACAATGTCTTTAATCCATCACCCACATTGTGGACAACATACTCATTAAAGTTAGCCCATAAGTTTCTGATAGTCCTCCAAACTGATACACTATAAGTGCTGACTGCTTCACCAGTGCACTATTGACTCGACTGTCCATATTTTCCATGATCACCTCCTTCCATAGTGCTCGGTCTTCATTAGCATATCCGCATGTTGGAGGTCTCAAGTTCGGAACCCCTTACTAGCGAAGGCAAGGGGTTTGCCTTCTGGGTCGAGCTCATCGCACCGGGCTTGCCTGGTGCAGTTACCTCTCCTATGTGGTTTGCGAGCTATTGAATATGAGCGGAGTTTGACCCTGTGCACACCCAAAGGGTAGCGGCTGCGGGTTTCCCTTGTCATTAAAGAAAAAGCATATCCCCATAACCACTTCATCAAAAGTCAACTATTGTGTAATTTCAGATACCAAGACCCCTTTACTTTCTTCTCAAGTTGAACAACATCCCATCTCACCAAACGAAAGCCTTTATCCTCCTTGACTCCATTCCATAGAAAATACCTTCTAAGCTTGTCAAATTTATCCACCACCACCAGCTGGAATTGGAAACATAGACATCACATCAGTAAGTAGAGAATCTAGTACTGCATGAATCAGAATCAATCTACCTCCCAGGAATAGGTACTGCAACTTCCACTTTGTAAAGCTGACTTGTCCTGCATCTGGATCACAAAAGATAATTGTGCCATCTGCATGAAGCAAATGACAAATTTCCACATTTACTCCCTGTATGTTGCCTAACTGGAACCCCTTGAGCAATTTCTTTTGCATTGTTGTTCTTACCATGCCATTGAGTCCTTCCATGGCTATGATGAAGAGGAAAGGTGAAAGAGGATCACCTTGTCTAAGTCCTCTTTCAAAGGTAAAAAACCCCCACAGGTTCTCCATTTACAAGGACAGAGATCCTAACGGTTTTGATACAAAAGCTCATCCACTTCAGCCACTTAACACCAAACCCCATCTGCTTCAGAATACTCAAAAGATATTCCCAGTTCACATGATCATATGCCTTTTTCAATGTCAACCTTGCACATAATACCTGGATCATCACTTCTTAGTCTAGAATCCATACATCCAGTAGCTATTAGTGCAACATCCATTATTTGTCTTCCCTTAATGAAAGTCATCTGATGTTTGTTGACCAGTTTGTGCACCACCCTTTTTCAACCTTTCTACTAACAGCTTGGCAATGATTTTATAAACACCACTTACGAGACTTAATGGCCTAAAATCTCCAAGTTCAGCTGTACCATTCTTCTTGGGAATAAGAGCCACAAAAGTAGCATTCAGATTCTTTTCAAACATCTGATGCTGATGAGAATGCTGCAAAATCCCCATTATGTCTACTTTAAGCATTACCCAAAAAGTTTGGAAAAAGCTCATTGGGAATCCATCAAGTCAGGAAGCCTTGTCACTGGCACATATTTTTGGAAAAAGCTCATTGGGAATCCATCAAGTGGAGCCTTGTCACTGGCACATATTTTTATAAAACTGCACCTCCTCTTCAAAGTTTGTTACCTTGTATACTACAGACCCAAGATACTTGAAGCTGCTTCTCCTGGGTACAGCTGTGTATCAATCTTCACTTCTACCTTCTGCCTCGCGTGCTATGTCACTGAACTTGCACACTAGGTACTTTGTCTTACTCCTGCTTAACCTAAAACATTTAGACTCTAAAACATGTCTCCAAGCTTCCAGTTGCTTACTAACTCCCTTGCACGTCTCGTCAATCAATACTAGGTCACTGCGAAGAACATACACCACAGCACATCCCCTGGATTTATCGCGTTAATTGATTCATCACTAAGACAAACAAAACGGGCTAAGGGCTGAGCCCTGATACAACCCCATCATGACCGAGAAATTTCCATGTTTCCTACTGCTCTTACTCGGGTCTTGGCGCCATCATACATGTCCTTAATTGTCCTAATCTAAGTCATTGTACACGTCTAGACCCAGACATCTCCATAGAACCTCCCTAGGAACTTTGTCGTGTGCTCAGATGGAGCAAGTAAATGAAGCAAGCAACTTAAAGTAGCAGAGAAGTGAAACAGAAGTGAAGAAGCTATATACCATTTCAACTGAAAATTTGTTATAGGTAACAGAGTCACAACATCTTACTACTCCATTAGACACTTTTATAGTCATAAAGTACCTTTTTCGGTGGGGTTCGTTGATAGCCCTTCTGCAGAAAGTATCTTTTCTAACTCCTTTATCAGGAAGCCTTCACGTTTGTCGTCAGATACCTGCTTGGCTCTCTTATAAATAGAAGGAGCAACACTGGTGGGAAGGTAGAACGTTAATTAGAATGTGATCCGAGCATCAGTTACAGGTAATTAGAAATCTTACAAAAAGACAAACCTCATCCCACAAGCTTTGAAGATTGATTTCAGATGTTCCACACGTTTTCCGTATCCGGTATTAGCTGATGTTCCCTTTACAACTTTCTTCTGCAGTTAGTTTAATGAATAAGAACCATATACGAGCATGGGGAGGGTTTCTAACATAATATTATCTGGAAATTATCATAACTCACCTTGGCAGATATTATTTCAGCCGACGATCCAGATTGACCATCTTCAGAATCACTCTTATCAGTGTCTCCATCACTATTTTCATCCGACAGATTCTTAGAAACTTCTTTCTGCTTTTTTGCAGGGACATTATCTTCTGAATTAGGTTTTTTCCGTTTCTTCAGTCCTTCAGATTTCTCAACTGTTTCTTTTGCAGCAGAACTCTTTCTTGATTTAACTTTCTCTGCTATATGTTTACGTTGGCTGCTAAATGAATTAGAGTTTTCACCACTCTTCTTTGCTGTTTTACTTTTTTTTTCAGGGCTTTTCTTAACACTGCTAGATTTAGGAGCTTCAGAAGGTGTTAACACCTGTTAAAAAAAATTGTGATGATTAACAAACATACTCCTCTTGGAAGTAAAGAGGTTTTTTTGAAACAAAATACCACCTCATCTATTTGAATCTGAATAAACTTCTTAAAGGCATCAAGAGTATTTTTCTCAAGACCAAGATCTTCTTCCAGAAGTCTACGAACACCAGCCAGAGTTATTGACCTGAGATAAAACATTCACTTGAAACAGTTAAAACACAGAAAAGGACAAGAACAAGATAATAAAAGGCCAACATTGTATAAATAATAAGTAAATAAAACCTTTGAGAGAAGAGATGCTGTTGAAATAGATCAAACTCTTAAAGAAGTGTTCATGTCTATTCACCAGTAATACATAAAACCTGCTAAAAAGGCTCATCTTCTTTTAAAAGTAAAATGTTAGAGAAAGTGGAAAGAATCAACTAACAGTACTCCCCTGACAATCAAGGGCCTATTTGACTAGTGACTAGCTCAATGTCTCGTGATTGAAAACCAATATCTGTCTTCTTTCTTTTAAAAGAAAAAGAACATTTTGTTTGATATCTTTCTAGTATTAATGTGGATTATCGCTAACAACTATTTCCTTCAGTGCTGTTTATCAGCTTTTCATCTCTTTTCCATCTAGGCAAATCCTCGTGCAACATCATACCATTAAGAAGAATTTGGTTCAACCCAACTCTACATTCTCACTATTTTGAAGCTGCCATTATATTGAACTATTATTCCAAATAATCCCAAAACACCGGGTTTGCATACATCCTACCCTCCCTAGACCCCACTATACACTGGGTATGTCATTATATTCCCAAAACACTTATCACATACTCCAATTCAGAAATAAAGCTGTCCCCAAAGCACATCCAAAAACAATTTCAACAAATTACACCAATTGAAGACTCCTGAAACCAATAATTAGCACATAAACAGGCCTAAACGTTGTCTAATCTTTAGAAGAAATGAAGCACAAAGTGCATTCTATTTCTTCTGTCTAGTTTCTTTCTTGAGTAATTTACTCGTTATTTCATTTGAAAAGTAACAGTAAAGAATTCTCATTAGCAGGGCATTGAGCGTGTGCAAAAAGCAACCAGAATATAGTTACACTCCTTGCAGGAAGAGATGCACCAGTTTCTTCAAAAATCACAAATAAGTCAACTCAGTCAGTCAGCTACAAATATTTAGTTCTACCAAAAAGCTTATGATCTCCTCATTTTATGAAGCATAAGTTTCTTTGCAGCAAAAATAACAATGAAAAAAGAGCTTAGAAATCAACAAATTATAAACCCATTGAAGGACAACTCTTCTCCTTGAGATGCCCTTCTATTTCTTCCATTCGAATGCACCAAAACATGCATGTGGGTATCATTTGTATTATGTAAGGGGAATTTTCCTAACCAATGAAGAACTTCATGGACTTCTACTATTCCATATCAGTTTCCAAAGGCATCAGTCAGTTGATTATTAAGGGCATGACAAAAGTGAACCCTCGAACCATATTTCAGCAATTCACTCAGATTAAATCACTGACCTGATTAAAGTGAATAAGCTTCCAAGATCTCAGTTTGTAACAAAAGCAAGCTACTGAACTCTTGTTTTGTGTGAATTTTTTGGAGAACATAACAGAAATGTTTTCCCATCTCAACAAAATTTATTAGCTTAAAAATCCAACATTGTCATAACAAGAAATAAGAAACAACAAAAATAAGGTCGATAAAAATGGACCCCTAACCTTTCTGTACATAAGTCATCAATCAATTTATATCTTTACTGCCATTCAATTATCATAAAAAGGCTTTGAATGCCATGAATGAAGTTCTATAGATATTACACGTGGTAAAATGGATAGAAGAAATACCCAATGGGTGATATAATGGTTTCACTACAACTAGGCTTTTGTTTGGATAAGAGTGTGGTGATAACAAGGTATTGAAGAGCATATGATATTAAAAAGGACTTGTAAAATTTGGATAACCTAAAGCTATTATGAATTATCATCCATTTACTGCCATCCCATTTATAACCCATTAGGTTGAATGAAGAAAGTCGTCAGTGATAACTCATTTTGCCACATTATCAAGTATATAACAACACAATTATTCATGAAGACTTGATTTTTTCTAATTATTTCACTATCAAGGCTTGAGTAGGAGCCACCTTATGCGACTCAACTAAAACACCAAGTAACTTGCTACAGTCCACAAGTGGAGGTGCCGGGTAAACCTGCTCATAAAGGTCAGACTAGAAGGGCTCACACTGAGTGTTGCAGGTCAAATTCAAACTTGGATTCTTCATATTGTTGCTCCTAAGCTTCAACTACTCAGCCATCCCCTTAGGTACTACTTGTGAAGATTCTTATGGATTTCAACAACAATAGAGGGCCCAAAGAAAGTAAAGAAAAAGAGAAGTGGAAGGAAAAAAAGAGAGAGAACAAGAACCTTTGCTTATAGTGAGGATTCATATAGTAACCCCAACTTGTTTGGGACTCATAGTTGTTGTTATTATTATTATTTTTATATAAGAGATTCAGGATTGAGCTTTAGATTTATATTTCCATTATCATGTATAATGGCAAGGAGCTACTACGGATGTCCTTATTTAGAATATACAGGTGAGACAAAAGGGGGAAGAAAAGTGATGCTCTAGAATTCTTGTCATTCAAGTAATAGTTCAAAAGGGGTCAGGTGGCACCATAGGATGAAAGGCAACAGTAGACAATTTCACTAACATGTTTATCTCATTCCTTTTCTCCCAACAACTTTTAAGCAGCAGGGGTTATGTCCCACATAACTGCCTCAGCGAATTTGAAGCAACATGATCTGGGAAGAATCTACCACTGGTCAAGGGCAAAGTCATGGCAAGTCATTCCGGGGAACAGATGTAAACAACTTGGAATGAAAAGAGGAGCTAAAGCTATGAACAAGCATACTAAAGTGATCCCAAGCAGTTGTCAGGAGAACCGGCAGGTACAGAGTCATAGCTGTAAAAGATAGAATGGTGACCAGCTAGCAATGAAAGATACGTACTCGGAATTATCTCTGAAGTGAGCAGCTCTCTCCCAGATGGCCTTCTTTATTGAGCTCTCACTTGCCTTTACACTTGGAGCATCCACTGACTCAGATTTCGAGCTCATAACACCCATTATAGGAGAATCATCCATTTCTGCTTCATCAAGTGCTGGCTCTTTGATATCTTTTTTTATCACTTGCTTTTTGGGGGACTCGAGCACTTCTTTTTCTTGTTTAGTCAAAGAAGCGTCTTTTTCCAAATTTTCCTGAGAATCCTTAGGGTCACCATCAGCAGCAGCATTCTCCATTAGCTAGCATGTCAAACAAAAAACAATTAGAAACTGTAAAAGGCCTTTACTTTTCATGCAAGGGCATATAATGTAACATGCCAAAAGTGCAAAAATGACAAAATGAAGCAGAGCTTGCAGAAAATAGCTACTGAAAGCATTACAGTTTGAAGCATAACTCTCATTAAATTAATCACAGATGGAGAATGTCACTCTGAACTGACTAAACAATTACCTAGAAGTCTAAGTAAAAATAACCATAAGACTAATTTTCTCATAAAGAGGGTGTCATTTTAAGGCTTGGTTGAGGCTCTCTTAAGCCCCAAAGCTGGGTACACACCCAGGTGCCAAGGCAATGGGCCCACATGGGCTCTATCTTGAAAAGGTGGCCCTAAACAAGAAATATAGTTGACAAATTGTATGTTAATGTTAAAAGAAAACTATGAGTGAATATTTAATGATTAGGCATAGGAAATTTGAGATTTCGTATTAAAAGCTAGTCAATATTCACTGAATATTTTACAACCAATTTAGAAATTTTAAATGACTTTTTGATTTTTATAGTTTCATTGAAGGCATCAAGAAGATGCAGTAGATACAAACGAGACTGTTAGTTCCATTACAAAATTTAAAGGACTCTTAACTTAAATGACATGATTATATACCTCATACATTATGAAATACAATGAATAGAACGACAATGCAGAAACATAATAAACAAAATGTGAACATTAGACAACTTAAGAGTACATAAATGTGAAAATCCAATAATCATTTCATACATTATGAAATACAATAATTAGCAAGATGATGCGGAAACAGAATACACAAAATGTACCATTTATAAACTAAGAAACAATAAGATTACCTTCTCCAAGATCAGCTTAATGGATCGTTTATGCACATCAAGAGCATACTTTTCAAGCTCCAAGTCTTCCTCTATCAGTCTACGCACCCTCTCCAAAGTGAAGGAGCTGCACCATGAATTCAAAGACACCCAACAAACATTAGATCAATAAATTTTTGATATAATTAAGTGTCCATAATAAAAGTTTGATATAATAAAGTGTCCATAATAAAAGCATTTATTGTATGTTCTTGGTTCAACACACTTCCATTGTATTTGTAACATTCAACGTGACTTGAAATGTCTAGACTTGAAGACCTCTTGAACATGGAACAATACTTTAAGGCTGTTTGTGCCCCATATGAAGAAAGAAAGAGCCCTTTGAGTAGAAGATCATGCATGAACAACATCCGTTGCTATTAACCCTAAATTATCCTAACATAATCAGTTTTACAGCCACCCACCCCAATTTTAGATAAATGGGTTAGGTTACAAGATCACACTTGAGCTGCTCAAGGAGTAAAACTGTCTACTCTCTCATTTCCACAAGTAGCTCTTGGTCATAAAGATATTATTGAATTTATTTCCCAAGTATTGATCAGATTGCTCATCTATTTCAGTTTGACACCAGAGACCAATTATATGAAAACATTGTTGTTAATTCAGTATATCTCCGGTAGCACCTAAGTGTGGTCTCTTGGTTAATGGAGTGGGTTAGAACCATGAGGTCTTGGGTTCAAATCCCAGTTTAGGCAAAAACACTAGGTGATTTCTTCTCATCTATCCAAGCATTGGTGGACAACAATACCAGTACCTGTGTTGGTGGGAGGTAGAGGCACTTAGTGTAATTAGTAGAGGTTCGCATAAGATTCCGAATATCATAGTTATAAAAAAGATTCAATATTTCCCTTGCATCTCAAAATTGTTGTTTTAAATTTGTTTCAAAAATATCAAATTTGCCATCGGTTACACTTTTGGTCCAATGTTATCCTTGTCGTTAGCAAATCATCTCATATTTGCCCTTGCCTTGAAAAAAAGGACCAAATTTACCCCTCAACTTTTAACTATGAGTTAACATTAACCTCCGTTGGAGCTTCGTCAGGGTTCAAGGGAAAAAACAAGAGCAAGAGCATTAGGGGTAATATTGAAACAAAGGTTTAGCATAACACAATGTTGTTCAATATCGAATAGTACTAAGGCAAATTTGACCCTTCTCTACACAGATAAGATTGTATAATAATGCAAGACCTACTTAACAATAAATATACTTATACTAAAAAGATGTATAGAATATACTTATACTAAAAAGATTCATATATTAAATATCATATATGGGAAAACATGGAGGGTGTGCCAATACTAACATACAACAAACGCAGTCCAAAATAACTTGAGATTAACTCTCCTCCCCCTCTCCTGGCTTCAGTGGAAACATGTGTTCCCTATTGTAACACTCAGAAAACTTCTTTTCCCTTTTTTTTTTTTGTTTGGCCAATAAGAAGATTCTCCAATTTTCACTCAACTGACAAAAATGGGCACCCTTTGGCACAACTAGCAGAGAAAATACCAACACTTGTGGGATGGGGAAATATGCGAGACAGGTACATACTGTATAACTTGTAAATTTGTGGGCAAAACTCAGGACCTCAGTTGGCATATGACAGGAGTTTACGCTCCAAATTGTACATTAGAAAGGGAGGAGGTCTGGTGGGAACTAGGGGCTGTAAGAGGACTTTTCACAGGTCCTTGGGTGGTGGTGGGAGATTTTAACACCGTTAGATTTCCTTCAGAAAAGAAGAACTGTTCAAGATATAATAAAGCCATGAGGGATTTTTCAGAGTTCATCGAGGATATGGAGCTAGTGGACTTACAATTAGCAGGGAACAAGTATACTTGGAAGAAAGGGGAAGGCCATGATGTTGCAGCCAGACTAGACAGATTTTTGATTTCTGAAGCATGGGAAAACTCTTTTAGGAACATCAAGCAATCAGTCCTACATAGAGTAACATCGGATCACTGTCCCCTAATTCTTGAATGTGGAAATTGGGAGAGATCAATTTCTTTCTTCAAATCGAGAACTGGTGGCTGCAGACAGAAAATTTCAAGGAGAAAGTAAAGTTATGGTGGGAATCTCACCATTGCAGAGGCAGACCAGATTATATTTTAGCTGACAAACTAAAATATTTGAAAGGCAAGCTAAAAGAGTGGAGTAGGACTAGCCAAGGCAACCTGGGACTACAAAAACAGAGTATCCTAAGTCAGTTGACAGAGCTTGAGGTAATACAAGACCAGAGACAGTTATCTGATGATGAGATCTATCTAAGAACAACTCTCACTGTGGAGTTTGAGGAAAATGCAAAAAAGGAGGAGGTCGCGTGGAGACAAAGGTCCAGAGCTATATGGTTGAAAGAAGGTGACAAAAACACAAAGTTTTTTCACAGAACTGCAAACTGTCACAAAAGATATAATAATATAGACAACTTCTGGTGGATGGTGAGTGTACAGGGGACTCATTAGTGATCAGGGAGGAGATTGTCAAATTTTATCAGAAGTTGTATACAGAATCAGAGATATGGAGACCTCAATTCAACCATAGATCAGGTGTTATTATCAGCGAAGAAGATAACTTAATGCTAGAAAGTCAATTTAGTGAGGCTGAGATCAAAGAATGTGTGATGGCATGTGCGAGGGACAAGGCACTTGGGCCGGATGGATTCACCATGGCATTCTTCACCAATTGCTGGGAAATAGTAAGCAAAGAAGTAGTGGCAGCAGTTCAGAACATTTTTGAAAGAAGCTTCAATGCCACCTTCATAGCCTTGATCCCAAAAAAATTGGGGGCCAAAGAACTAAAAGACTTTAGACCTATTAGCTTAATAGGTAGCATATATAAGATCATCTCAAAAGTGTTGACTGAGAGGCTGAAAAAAGTTGTTTCAAAACTGGTAGATACACATCAGATGTCCTTTATTAAGGGCAGGCAGATCATGGATGCTATTGTGATTGCCAACGAATGTGTAGATGTGACGCAAATTAGCAAGGTCCCAGGCATTCTTTGTAAGTTGGATATAGAGAAAGCCTATGACCACTTAAATTGGGATTTCCTATGGAAGACTTTGGAAAACATGGGTTTTGGGGAAGATGGATAAACTGGATCAAATTTTGCACCACTACAGTGAAATTTTTCAGTTTTGATTAATGGCTCTCCCACAGGTTTCTTCTCATCTGAGAGAGGCTTGAGACAAGGGGATTCATTATCTCCTTTTCTCTTTATCTTGGCAATGGAGGGTCTCAATGATATGCTAAGAACAGCCCAGACAAACAGCTGGATAAGGGGTTTCAATGCAAACATGGGGGATAGACAGAGTCTAGCTATCTCACATCTCCATTATGCAGATGACACGCTAATATTTTGTGATGCAGACATCAGTCAACTGAAGTTTTTAAGAATAATATTGATATTGTTTGAGGCAACTTCAGGTCTACACATTAATTAGGGCAAAAGTTACATCTATCCAGTCAATGAGGTACCTAGAATTGACAGTCTGGCAAATATTCTGGGAGGAAAGATAGGGGAGCTGCCCACAATATATTTGGGAATGCCTCTAGGAGATAAGAGACAGATTAGATGCCATTAGAAGAAATTTTCTTTGGCAAGGAAACTGCGATCCAAATAAGCACAAGTTTCACTTGGTCAAGTGGAATGAAGTTTTAGTCAGCAAGAAAGAGGGGGGACTAGGAACAAGGAATCTAAAAATACAAAACCACAGCCTGCTAATGAAATGGATGTGGAGATTTGCATCACAAGAACAGTCGCTGTGGAAAGACACCATTAAGGCTAGATATGGAATGGAGACGAGGTGGATCAGCAACATAGCAACACAACCATATGGCACCGGAGTGTGGAGGACAATCAAGAATCTATGGCCAAAACTTATAAACAAGTGCACAATTAAGATAGGAGATGGTGGAAAAACTCTATTTTGGGAGGAAGTTTGGGCGGGACAAGCTTCACTTAAAGCTAGTTTCCCTGACCTATTCAGCTTGAGTCTAGAGAAAGTGGCCACTGTCAAAGAAATGAGAGATGCTCAAGGTTGGAATTTAAAGTTCAGAAGACCTTTAAATGATTGGGAGGTGAATAGAATGGTTGAATTTCTAAATATCCTGGAACGATACAAGGAACTCAGTAACAGAGAAGACAAACTGTTATGGGCTCCAGATACACAGGGGAGATTCTCAGTTGGAACAGCTTACAGAAACTCACAGAGGACACACACTCAATCAAGCTACTGGCCATGGAAAATGATCTGGAAAGTTAAGGTGGCCTGTTTTACTTGGCTCTTAGCAAAACAGGTTGTTCTCGCGCAGGATAACCGTATGAAGAAGGGCCTCGATTTGTGCTCCAGATGTTTTTTTTGTGAATGTGAGACAGAGACAATAAATCATCTCTTTTTACACTGTAAGGAGACAGTGAAACTTTGGCAAATTTTCATCAATAAAAGGGGCATCAGTTGGTCTATGCCAGGAAACATAAAGGAAGCTTTGGCATGTTGGAATCGGGATGTAAATTAGTCGGGGCACAGGGAGAGATGGAAGATTGTCCCAGCCTGCATTTGGTGGACTATTTGGCTGGAAAGGAATCAAAGATGTTTTGAGAACAAGAGCTGCTCTATGGAGAAGATGAAGCTGAAATGTTTAGCTCTTTTCTATTTTTGGTGTAAACATGAATATCCTCATGAAGATGAGGATATCACTAGTATGTCAGAGTCCTTAAGGAGTTCATAGGAAAACAGCAACACTTTTGTATTTCTGATTGTAAGTATTACTGGAATACATCCTGAGTATTCCTGTGTTTATAATACAAGTTACCTTTTCAAAAAAAAAATACCAACACTTGATCTGGATACGGCTCCAGACCTGAAAATCCTATGGTCCTGGCACCGCTCCACGATAATCACTAAACAGAAAATTCCCAATTGACCCAACAACAACAAAATTCCCAATTGACTTATGATGTTTTTTTCCAGTTCCTATCCCCTTACCCTCACCCATATCCCCAAAACAACCACTTCAATCAACCAAAATGACTGTAAAAAGATAAATCAAAGTAGTATCGCACATTAACTCTATGGAAACTAGAAAAGTAGCAGAAAAAATCAGGAAGAGCATACTCGGCATTTTCTTTGAAATGTTGAATACGAGAGCGCAAAGCTTCCTCAATCTTGACTTCTATCCCTTGCTTCTCTTCGTTCACCTCCTTCGCCATCTTCTTACTAACCCTATTGCCTCCAAACACCAACTCGCCCTTTTCCTTTGGCACTGACCCGCTCAAAAGATATACACACACTCGAAGTCTCGAAGGTTACAGTTAACTTAAGGAGTGTTTAGGGCTTTATCAAACACCTCACAACTCTCTCTTTTCCCCCCTTTTTCCTCCATTTTTTGGAGCGTTTCCCTCCCTAGTATAGTCTCGTGTTTGGTACAAAAAAATGTTTTCTACTGAAAATGATTTTCTATGTTTTTTACTAGTAATATTTTGTCATTTGGATAAATAAGTAAGAAAATATTATTTTAAGAGTATTTATGTACTCCCTCTGTCCCAATTTATGTGACACATTTCGGATTTCGAGATTCAAACAAGTCTATCTTTGACCGTAAATTTTTCATATCTTTTAAATATTTTGAATTATCAATTATTATGATTTATAGTACTTTTTATGTAGTTTACAAATATATAAATTTCATTTTAAAAAATTTGAAATTCCATGAGCAAATTCTCAGTCAAACTTCAACTATTTGACTCTCGAAAAGCGAAATGTGTCACATAAATTGGGACATAGGGAGTATCTTTTAGTATATAATATTGTTAAGGTGGGGAAGAATGAGAAGTGGGGATTCAGGGTAGTTTAACATAGGGGTGTCAATGGAATGGTTTGATCGATATTTTTTAAAAATGATTTCATTTCAATTTTTCAAGTATTTTATAATGAATAACCAAAATTAGACTTTTAAAAATCGTTTCAATCATATCGATTTCTCTTCGGTAACGATACGGTTTGGTTAATTTTCACCTCAAAATATACTATTTTATTAAAATATTTCTTTCACAAATATGTTTTTGAAGAAACACTTTAATTCTTCACTCAAGAATGTAAAACTTTGTTATCGTGTTGTTTGATCTTAAACATTTAATAGGAGTGCTTGCATGAGTTTTGTCATATTGTTTGATGGAGTATTTATTATAGTATCTTTAAATTTTCAACCTAATTAAATAAAAGTTAATTAAAGAGCAAAGACTCAAAGTCATCCGGTCACTAGAGGCCTAGGACTTAGGTTATATTTATATTTAAAAAAATATTATAAAATATATTTATATATTAAATTTAACATATTGTTAACATATAAAATATATTTACATACATATAAGGTTATTCGGTTCTGTTCGGAAATTTTTCATTTTTTTATAAATTAAAAAGATCATCTCAATTGATCGGGACGGTTATACACTTAAATAAAAGTCCATAACTTTATTGAAAAAAATGATATAAATCGATCAGTTCGATCGATTTCTCATATTCTTTGACACCCCTACCTTAACAAATTTTGTGGCCTAAAGCTAAATTTTAAGAAGATGCTTTAAAGTTATTTAAATAAAAATTATATTTATTTTAATTTAGAAATTATTTTGTAGCTTCTTAATTCGTAAAACTATTATTTGCTTTTATAATATAATTTTTTAATATGTATATTGAGTTCTGAACAAATTAATTCATATTAATTAGTTGACATTTATTTTTTTGAAACATTTTTCACCTATTGTCTCAAAATAGAGTAACTGTTTAGTAAATGGTATCTTTTTATTTTTCTTATAAGTTATGGACCTACCGATTGCGATCTAAATATCCTTTTTGAAAAATTGAAAATAGTATGAAAAAATAAAAAAATGTTAGACCATAGTCTAAAATTTTATAAGTCATTACAAATGTTGGACTTGTATGTTAGAGACAAACAAACAAACGATAATTTAATGTTGTCCAGAAAAATAATTTCCCAAGAATTATATTTACATGATTTTTAAAAATATAATTCTGACTATTTGAGATGTTGCATGGCATGCCCTAATAGTTCCAAAAGGTGTTTGACAAGGATTTGGGGGTGCACCCAAGGGCTTAGCTTGTCGACGAAGGCCATATGCGGCAAGGTGTGTCACTATCGTACGTTGTCGAGCTAAAGATGGAATCTGGGGATTTCGGTCTAGGGCCTTGTTCCTAGCATGTTCTTATATATGCTTACCAAATTTTGGGTCATTTGGAGTTCGTTTCGATATAAGCTTGACTTAGCCAAGGGTGAGTGGCATTGTCACAATTATGCAAATATCCCGAAGGCTATAACCCGTAGTATGAGAATGGGATGAAACTTCATGGAGGTGTGAAGAAAGTCAAGAGGAGTAACTACCCAGACGACACCTCATTTGGAGTTCGATAGAGCCGTCTATGGCCATTATGATTATCTGGCTAAAGCATGTCAATTCCTATCACATGGATTTTATGTTTTTAAGCATATATAAGGGGGGGGGGTATACATGGTGACCACCTACCAGTCTCCCCCAAGCATTTTTCCCCAGGTGTGTTGCCTTGAAGGGGAACTTCAAGGGCCGACTGGCATGTCAAAAGAGTGTCCTAGGTACTCATTGAGTTAGGGAGCTCTATGGGCGGCGTGTGGCTCGGTAGCCAACGTTGGGTGTCCCTACGTGGTGGGAGGCTTGCTATTTGGGACGATGGGCCCTCCGTACCATCCCACTTGTGAGAAAAGACTTCCTAGCCGATTGAGCAATCAAGGGACTCACTCATGAGCCTCGTGAGCTTGGCAAGGGTTCAACCATACGAGCAAAGGTTTGTTTGCCTAGACGTACAGTTGTGGGGCAACGTTTGCACTTGGGATTTGTATGCATGATGTGTGGGCTATATTGGGTTATGCGCTAAGACAAATGAAGGCACGATAATGAAGACGCACATGTAGGGGTGTGTATCGTCCGGTTTGATTCGGTTTATCGGCTTTCGATTTTTAAATATGCTAACCCAATAACAAACCAATAATTTATTTTTATCAGTTTTTGATTTGTCGGTTTTTGGTTGTTATCAGTTCGATTTTTGGTTTATCCAATAAGAAAATGTCTATAAAATGTAACATCTCACTAATTGAAAGAAGTATAAAGAGTTAGAATTGGAAATAGTCATTTTAGGAAAAAATGAAAAATCTGGAAATTTGCTAAGTTATGTTAAGTTTGTGTTTTTTTGGTCAACTTCAAATGACCATAACTCCTAGATCAGGATGAGTTAGGTGTGCTTCCAGATACCGTAGGAAATATCTTGGAATTATCTTTCCAACTCCGCCGAGTTTGCACGATTCCGAGTTTGTATTAGTGAGAAATGCCCATTGGAAGTTGGGTTGTTCAAATAAGGAAAGTGTAATCCGGATTTTTGGAAGGGTAGTTTGGTCTTTTCCTTACCAAATTACTTTATTTCGTTTTTAGGAGTTTAATTGGGATCTAAAATGAACTTGGTCAGTTTTACACTTTTGAAAACTAAGTTAGGGTTTTGAGAGAAGAGAAAATAAGAAGAGGAGAAGGAGAAAGAATCGTCAAGTTCTTCAAGAATCGCTTGTGGATTTCGTCAAGGGGTGATCCCTACGAGGTATGTGAGACTTTCATAGCGTTGGGTTCTTTCACCCACGTGCTAAGCATGTTTATTTCAGCGTGAATTCGTCCAAAAAGGGTTGAAAGTTTGATGTTCTTGATATGTGTTCATGCATTTGTTTTCGTTCTTGAATTGGGTTGAGATTGAGAAGATTTTGAGAGTATTGCGTCGAATTATGGAGTTGTTTTGAGTTAGGTTCTTAGGTACATTTACTGGGTATCTGAATCTAAAGAGAATTTGGGAAAAAGAACCGAGTTTAGGCGAATTGGGGCTGGAAAATGAAGAAGGAAAAAATCGGGTGAATCTGGGTACCAGGTCCGCGTCGCGGACATGTTCCTCAGGATGGGAAAATTCTCCTCGCGGAGTGGAGCGGTCACGGAGCGTTCTGCCTCAAAAATTATTTTCGCAACCAAATATTGAAATACATCTCCACGTCGCGGACTAGTTTCCAGACAGTGATTTCTTGATCGTTTCTCATGTTTAACTATCTAAAAACACTCCTAAACATCATGAGATCCTTCCTATCACAAATCACAACCCTTGAAACCATAATTCAATCCAAAGAAAGTTAAAAGTCAAGTCAAGAGGTTAATAGTTAAGTCAAGAGAAATTCTTCAAGTATTTCTTTCACAAACGTTTTAACTTTGTTTTAAGACTTAAACTTTGAGTTGAGGAAAGAGTAAGAGTAAAGATAATTCCTTCAAAGATTATACGGGAACTAAGTATTCCCAAGAGTTAAAAATGTTTTCACATTTGAGCAAGAAGGGAAACACTAATTTCCAAGAGATCTTTTAAGCTAAGTTTTGAGTAATTATCTCAAACCAAAGAAAGAAGTTTTGTTTTAAGAACATATGAGCCAAGTATATTTTGGGACTAGTATTGAGCACCAATATGGGGATGCGAGTTCATAATAACTCAAGTCTCCATAAACCATGTAGCCATCATGGGTAGTAAAGGATCATACTTTTTAGATGATTCCTTAAGTGCTTTTTAGCATAGACTAGTGGATCCACTTAGTTAAGGTGTTCTATATGACGGCAAAGTATATGATAGTTCTGCAGCGTGGGCAAGACGTTGTATCACCACTTAGGCTCATAGTGGTGATTGTCGGTTAGAGAAACTCCCACAGTATTACATTACTTTATTATATGAGTAAGTTGAGTTGTTATTGCATTTTCTTTAACAAACTAAGTTGCTTTCTATTGTTTTAAAAAGCCTTCTATATATTGCATGTGTATTATTGCTTTATATTGAGTTAAGTTATTCATGAGTTGAGTAAAGCCAAAGTAAGTATTTCTTTCAGATTCATTTCAAGCTTATGTTATGTTTAGTATTCCCCTCGCAGACTTGTACATTCAATGTACTGATGCCATTTGGCCTGTATCGTTTTATGATGCAGACACAGGAATTAGGATCAACATCCAAGGCCCCGTTGATCCAGTTGAGCACTCAGAGTCAGTTGGTGAGCCTCGTTGCTTTTCGGAGGACTCCTTTTACTTTGCTTTCTAGTATTTCGATTGTTAGGATGATCGGAGGTCTTGTCTCAACATCTTTTCTTGTTTTAGAGGTTTCATAGAGAGTTAGTAGTTCAGTTGTCTTCACATATTGTTTCATATGTTAAGACTTGAGTTGCCATTTTGGCCAAGTTGAATGTTTGACCTTTAAACGTTCTAAGTTATTTTATTAAACAGTTGAGTAGAATTGCATTTGATTATTGTAATAATGTTTAGATTCTTTCGCTGACTAAGTAAGTTAGGCCAAGGGT